TTCAGCTGCAGTATAGCTGTCTCTGTTCCCTCAGAGGGAACATGGCTTCTTGTTTTCCAAGGGATTAGCTTCAAAGTTGAGTTCTTGTCTTAACATTTCAATGAGAGCCCTTCTGGACACTCCTCCCTGGCTCCACAGGTGTGAGCTCTCTGTGCAGGCACAGCCTGCTAGCCAGGATAAAAAGTTGCCCCTGGTATTGTACGCCGTACCTCTCTCTCTCAGTTGCACCAAAACACCTGTACCCACAGCAGATCTCACAAAGATTTACCCAGGCAGGGGAAGGGGACAGATGCACCAAAAGTCGCACAGACACGATGTGCAGGTTTTGCTGGCTTTCAGGGAGGCTGAGAAAACAGAAGCCAGGCCGGCCACCGGCCTCCGGGTGACCTGGCTAAGACGCGGTACCCCTCTTTGTGCCTTATGGGCTTTGTTCCCCTTGCTAAAACAACAGAGCTCCCAAGAACCTGTCTGTACTTGCTGTGGATACCAAGCAGACTGAGCAGCCAACTCCTTTGCTTTTCCTGAGCTCTGCTCAGACCAAGTCACACGACGGTACTGTGGAGCCACTCTGGCTGCCTGGGGTATTTCTACCTTTGCTCCACAGAGATCAAATCTATCTCAGCTCAGGGAGCGATGTGCTGAACGCCAGCAGCTCCAGATAGGCAATGAGGAGCTAAACCGCAGAATCGTTGCAGAAAGCAGTAGGGGCCATAGGGTTAAATCCACCTTTGTTGACCCGAAGGGGAAACGTAGGATCGCCCCCCCCACCCCCAGCCCTCTTTGGCAAAACAAAAGCCAAAAACCATCATCCAGCCATGTGTGCCCCAGAGGGAACTGCATGGAAACCACCTGGCACCACAGTGCTGAACTACAGGGTAGGGCCACCTTGGTCTTTGTTCTCTGCAAATGAGCCCTGCTCGCTGTTGGGCTCCTAAGTGACAACTTAGCAGGACAGTATTTGTGTGCTTCCTTCCTACGCTCGTGTAAAGAGGCGATGAATTTGCTTCTTCCTTAACAACCTTTTCCACCTACCCTATGCTTTGGCTGATCTCCCCTAATGCTTGTTTCATTCCCTCAGTCCCTACAGATTTTGGCAAACGCGTGTACCAAGGAGTGCGAGTGAAACACACAGTCAAAGATCTTCTTGCTGAAAAACGATCCAGGCAGAGCAGTGGCTCCCGCTGCACTGTAAGTCCTTTGCTTTACCAGAAAAGTCATTTCATGCAATCTCTAGTTTAAAGAGCATTTTTGCTGAGTTCAGAGTGATGCCAACATTGGCAAGGAAAAGCACAAGTATTTCTAACACTAGTTTCTGCCTCAAAGATCACAGAGTGCTTTTTCACATCAGTGAGTCTCTCAGGGATTAAAGTCCTGAGAAATACAATTCTCAATAATTTCTTTAGCAAATCAGTGATGTTAAATTTCCCATTCCTTTCACAACCTGCACATGACACCTTTCCAAGTCAGCTTCCTTTACTGCTAGCTACATTTGAACAACTCAGTGTCATAAAAATAGATGTTCTTCCCTGAATGTTGCACTCCTTCCAGCTCCTCTCTGGCATACCAGAGTGCCAGGCGATATGCAGTGATGTTATGCTCTGGAAAGAGGCCAAGCATCAGTTTGTAAGAGCTGATTTCTTTTTAAAGTGATTCCATGGCAACAGAAAACGTAAGTCAAATTATGGTAAACTACCTTGCATCTAGTGAAGTACTAACCCGACACAGGCACCTGAGAAGCGATGCTGTCCCCAGAAGAGGACACAAAATTGCAGGTGCCAGCACAGGGCACTTGAAGCCTTTGCCAAGCAGCAGCGCTTTGCCTCCTGGCTGGCTGGGAGCAATGGGGCCAGCGACCGATGAGGAGATGTGGTCAAGCTGCTGAAACTGTGTCCTGGAATGAAAGAGTGGGAGCAGAGACCTGAGTTACCAGCAGCGGTAGAGACATTTTAGGAGATTTGATACTCTTTTCCCCCCAAGCCATTCACCTCAGGTTTTTTGCCTTCAGCAAAACAAACAAACAAACCTCCAAGGGACTTGGAACTATTTTTCTCACAGTTACGTTCACACGTTAATTTTACATGTCAAAAAGGGCAAAAAACCAGCATGGACATTACTGAACAAAACAAGATCAGTCCATGGATCTGTTCACAGCCCTCCACTGATGCAGAAAGGCAGGAGACCCCTTGAGCGAGGAGGGGCGCTCGGAAATGCATGCTCCCAGCAGGCAGGCCTTTTGGGAAGACTGTTCCGGGGAGCAGCAGGAGGAACTGCTGCGTTTGCACTTACTGAAAAACCAGATCCTCGTTAAGGACTACCATGCTTTACGGGCTCTCTTTTTGGAGGTGGCAGTTTTGCTGTTCAGCGCTGCAGTCGGTACAATCAAAAGCCCTAGGAACTGTAAAATGCTTGCTGCTTGCTTTATTGCCCTTTGCTTTGCGTTCCAAAGCTTAGCAGTTGTTTGTCTATCTAAAGAAAAATCAGCCCTATGGCTAATTCCTTATGACAGACTAAAAATTATAGGGCAGGGCAAACATCCGTATTTGCTCGGACATATGAAAAGAACAGCTGTAAGTGCAGCTCTGTTTATCCAACAGATAATATAATCCAGAATCAAAGCAAATGGGGCAGACAATTGAACACCACATTGTGTATTTATGATGCAGTGTAATTTAGTTGCATCTTTTGTTTGGACATGATCTTTGTGCCAAAATCAGTAAGCCTTCCCTGTTCAAGGGGAGATCTGTGGAGCAGATTTGTGCTGCTGAGGAAAGGCCATTACCTGTCAGAGGTGAGCTGATGGGCTCTTGACTGAGGCAGCAGAATAGCAACAGTTTAGCCAGGTCCTGCACTCCCCCAATGATAGGAAATCAATTTGTATTGTGGTGAAATCTGCAGTTTGTGCTTCTGAGGTCCCACCAACTGCAGGACAGAAGGGCTCAGCCCTAGGCTCTGGGCAGGGTCTGCCGTATTTCCTTCGGCTCACCCACCAGGTAAGAAGGAAGGAACCAGCTGTGGCCCTCTGCACGACAAAAGGATTGCCCTCTTTTCTCAGGTGGGGAACCTGGCAGGTACAAAGATGAAGCGCTATGGCCAGCAGCACCCAGAGGCCAGGGACAGTTAGGAGTCCCCAGGTCTCTGACTCTCTCATCTGACTCATTCAGCTGGCTTCTGTGGTCAGAAAACCAGTGTCATGCCCTGCCCAGACTAAGCTTTGCTTTTATTACTGTTTTTATTACTTCAGCTGCTATGCTGCACATCGGGTCCAAAGGGGAGATACGCTGAAGCCAGCGTATGGTCAAAGGACACCTCAGGTCCCCATTGGAGACCAGGGCCATAACGTTCACTGTTTTACCCTGGGTCCTCCCATCTCCTCCCCCGGGGCAGCCTGTTAGCTGAGTGACACTGCCGGGTTACCAAGGCAGTGGAGCAACGCAGCTCTCTGGAGTACCCCAGCCAGCGTCCCTGGCCAGTCGCACGCGAGGCAGGCTGGGACCAAGCTTCTCAGCAGCTGAGTGTGCCGTGGCCTCAAGTGATGCTAAACAGACACACTGATGTCTTGCAGAAGATCCAGCTCCCCCAGTCCCGCAGCGCTGAAAGGAAGTAATGCGGGGAGGAAATGGACTAATGGGCTTAAATTAAGCCGAGCCATTCACCCCCTGATAAGGAGCCAGGAGGCAATTGAAATGGAGGTTCCTATACGCAGTTGCCTGCTATGTTGAAGGCCAGGGATAGGCTGCAGCAGCTCCTGGAGCAGTGACTGCAGACACAAACCGGCAGCAGGACACGATGGCCACGAGCAGAGAGAGGAGGTGGTGGGACAAGCCCTGAAACAGGAAAAGGGATTGCATAGATAACGCGCACACCGAGAGGGGTGTCTGCTGAGGCCAGATTTGCATATGGAGGCTGTAGCTTTGCAGGGCATCATGTGTTACCAGCTAGGATCCTCGCTGAGGTCTGTGGCTGAAACGGCCCGGTGGGAGACAGGTGCAGGCTCCAGCCCTGACCCCGCGGGGCAAACATGCATCTGCCCACGAGCCAAAGGGCTCCTTCCCAACACCTCCCATCGCTCCTGCAGCCCGTGCAACTTGTACCGTCTCCGGGCTCATTTTCATGGCGGCGCAGGGAGCAGCTGCAAACCCTCCTCAGCAGTAAAAGGAAGTCTTAGCACTGGCAAATTTAATTCAAATCTAAACCTCTAAATTTGGTTGCTTGCTATGGCAGGAACCTCCTGTTTGCACTATGCAAACTGGAAATAGCATGCCACCATCACTGGCCAGGGCAGCAGCCCAGCTGAGGTAAATTCAGCCGTGGGCACTGGATTTCTGCTTAATGGGTTTGGAGGACTGGAGACAGAGCTCAGGGAAACTCCACATACAGCTGCCTTTGCCATAGCGCCTTGTAAGGAATTAGCTACCTCAAGCACTCAGGGCTAATTCTCCCTTGCCTGGAGGCCAAGAGGAGATTATTATTATCAGTATTATCGTACCACGCAAACAGGAGCTAGAAACAACTGCCTCCCAAGCACAGCTCGCTCCTTCTGCTAGCAGGGGTGAGCCAAGCGGCTCTGCGGCAGCGAGCGCAGCGCGGCAGAGCTGGGTTCCAACACGGGCCATGCCGGATCGGGCTGAGTTTTGACCAGCCAAGTTCTTAGGTAAAAGCTTACTGAGATCTATCTCACTGACACCGAAATGACTGTTCAGCGTGATGGCTGCATTAAGGGACCCTGCAGTACAGGAGAAAGAAGCCAGTTATCTTGATATTTGTACTGTTATCAGCTCTGTCCAGGACCTTTGAAATCTCTTCTTAGCCTACATCTGCTAATACCTCAGAGGCCCCAGGCTTGAAATCTTGCAGTTAATCTCTTCATACTGATAGCACCAATACTCAAACAGCACGTCTGAATTATGCCAACACCTTCCCAAACTATGTGCTTAGAGAGCTGGATCGCTTTGAAAAGACATTTTTCAATGTGTCTTTATCTATTGCAGGGCAGCGTCAGCATGCCGCAGTCGCCATGCGTCCAAATACCAGGTGAGGCTTTCCTCCACTGAGAAATACCTTATGTGCAGGTTGGGCCATTGATGCCGTTCCTGTCTCTTCTCCTCCAAAGGGCACTCGCCTCCAAGTGAGCGAAGGAGCACAGGGACAGGGCCACCCATCCCAGGAAGCCCAGGAGGAAAGTCATTGAAAGAGTCAGCACAGAAACAGTGATAATAAAACAAAGCCCCCTCTGGTCTTGCACAAAATTCCCTGAAGAAGGGAGAGAAAATGAAAGCAGTTCCCACCTTTTGTGACGGAGGCGCCCCCCACTCCACTCCCCTCTCCTCTGCAGTCTTCCCTGGAGCTGAAAGGAGAAAGTACTAAATCAGGAGCTGACCTGGTTTGTTCCTTGACCTCTTGCGCAGGGACAGGGGAGAGAGGCTGGAACCGAGGCAGGTGGTTTTACACCCAATAACCTCATCCTTCCTCCGGGGGCTGGAGCAGAGCGAGAGGAAGAAGCAAAGGCTGGCAGAGCTAGCGCAGCCCACTGGCCTCGGCTTTGAGGCTTCCCAAAGTGCATTTGCTCTGCTGCAGAGGGAGGTGAGGTGCGGGCTCCAGGGCAGCCCGAGGTGGTAAAAACCCCGGGGCTGACATACCTGTTTTAGCACAGCATTGACCGCTGCCCTGAGAGATGCTAGGGTGCAAAGGGCTCTGCTTTACACTTGCGGAGGTGCGCACAGCCCCGTGGCTCCCCAGGTGCTCCCCTTACAGCTCTCCTGTAGCCACCCCTTTTTTCTGACTGCCGCCACAGGCTCACCTACCACGGCTGGTTACTACAGCGTCAGGAGACCCTTCACGGCCGAGCTGGATTTCCACAACACGAAGCAGTTTGTCAGCGATGTCTACTCACCCCCTCCGGGGTCCAAGCCCCTCTCATGCGACTCCTCCGCCGTCCAGGGCTACCCGGCACTTCTGGACTCGTATCTCCCTGACCAATACGGGGATCACCACCGTACTGCTCCCTTCACGGCCGGTACCAGCTCCTTCTTCAGCCCTTCCTCGCTGCCCCCTCTCCTGCCGTCCTTCCCTAATGACACAGCACATTTCCTACTAGTGAGTGCGTCTACGCTTCTCGGTCCCCTGATGAAAGACCACCCAGTTTAAAGCTGAGGTTGAGCCGGGGGGACCCATCTGGGAGGAATATGGCGGTTACAGGAGCAGCCATGGCAGAGGACAGGGCAGGGCAGGCGGTTAACTATTTTTCTCTTTGTCCCCATCACCTTGCCCCCTCTTCCTGTTGGAGACCAGCTCTGAGACTAACAGCCTTCCCCGCTCCCCAAACCACCTAGTCCATTAAGCTCCCGCAGCGCGCGCCCCAGGGCAGAGCTGCTGGGCTCTGCGGGAGGAGGGCTGGTCCGTGCGACTGGGAGCCTGTTCCAGTCCTTGCCCAAACACTTTTAGCACCTTCTCCAGGGCAACAGAAACCCTTGTGAGTGCTCCCAGCTAGACTCCGGGGAGAGCTTGGCTGGGTGAGCCCTGAAGCTGAATGCATGCCATTACCTCCAGGATGAGCCTTTATTCTCAAGGGTTTCTTTGGCCTTCTTTCCCCCTTCGCTGCAGAGAGACCCCTGGGAACAGAGCTCTCCCGACAGCCTCGGCCAGTCCGACGGCGCGTGCTCCGACTCCCTCCAAGCGCTGCCTGCCGCTGCCAGCTGCCTTTCCTCCCACGAGACCGGAAGCGCTTCCCCATACAGAAGCTCAGGCTGGACCCCAGCCGTCCCCGGAGTCCAGTCTTACCCCCTACATCCTCTTGAAGAGGTCCACTACCCCCCCAGCTATGCTGCCACCTCACCCTACTCCTTTTCGCCATTTATGACTGCGGCAAATGAGCTCACTTCCAGGATGAGCCATCCCTCACCTGAGCAGTCCTCGGATACGCTGCCCCTTCACGACTCCTCTTCCTGGGCAAAGGAGGATGGAGGTCCCAGCTGGGGGATGTACGATGGCCGGAGAACTTACTGATGGCAGATAAGAGCTGGAGGAAAGGAAAAAAGGACCTGTATTGAAGCAAGAGTTACTTGTATGCTATTTCCCATTAGCTGGTCTTTCAAACAGAGGATGCTAGTAAAACCACAACGCTTTATGCTCTGTTTAGAAATACGGGCACTGGGTGAGCCATATCTAGCTTGTAGCGGTGCCTTCTAGCGCCTTGCGAAGGTCACTGCTCACAGTCCCACTGCAGGGCGGGTAAAATACAGAGCTTGAAATACATCTGCGCATTATTGGCCCTAGTCTACAAACGAGGATCACACAAACGCTCCCTCCCGGGTTTCCCTCCTGCCCTGAAGAAAACGCACAGTGGCCGTTCGCCCCCACTGTTACCTGCCCCCGGAGGAGCAGGTCTGGCCCAAGGTCCCAGCTCCCGGCCAGGGGCGCAGGGCGCGCGGGTGGGCACCACCAGGCCCAGCGCAGCCCCGCAGGAGCCATGGCCCCCAGAGGTAGCTCTGCACACAGACGCCTACGCACGCGCACGCCTGCACACCAGTCCTGCACAACCCTCGCCGGCGCGACCGCTCGCGCCTGCCGTGTCCATCCCTGCCTGGGGCTCCCCTTCGCCCTTCGCTGCCTGGAGAAGCAGCAGGAAAAGCCTCCCTGAGGAAGCCCAGGAGCTCTCCAGGGCCTGAGACCGCGGCAGGACAGGATGGTTTAAAGTCCTAAAACAGGCGGCAATATTAGGCAACGCTGATGGGAACTGCCAAACAGATCGGTCCAGGCTTTCTTCTGCACAACCCCCCCCTCTCTTTCATAGCAGTCCCACCTAGATGATCCCCTAGCACCCTCATCCTGCAACCTGCCTGCACCCCAGTGTGCGCTCAGCGGCCGCACAGGCCCCTTGTTCAGGCCACACGTGGCACCTAACGCGTCCTGGCTGTGTGCACACCCTCTGCACAGCCAGCACTGGGGTGAGCGCTCCCGGAGATCCCTGTAGGTGCCCAGACAGCCCTGCCCCTGGCACAGACACCCCCTCACTTTGACTGCTCGTAGCACGGACGTGACTCAACAAACTGAAAGAGCCAAAGCACCAGCAGCCCTGGTGCAACCTGCCTGGTGCAGCCAGGGCATATCTGCACTGCCTCGGCTTCTGCACCCATAGTTGTGCACCTCCAAAATGCACACACACCCACACCGCCCCCCTCTTTGTGAGCCAGGGATGGGGGTCTGGGTCCTCTCTGACCGAGGGCTCATAGAAATGTGATTCACAGGCCCATGAGGGTCTCACAGCCCACAGCATGAAGGAGGGTGGAAGGGATGGGTGAAAACTGGTGTGACGAAGGTGGCAGCGAGGTGGCCGGTGTCTGCCTTTAGGTGGCACTGCGTACCCAGGGCAGCGCTGCCCGGCAGCGCCTGGGTGCATCAGCCGGGAGATGCTCAAGAGTCACAACCCAAGGGCCAGCTTTCCAGACCCTCCACAAAAAAAAAAATCCCCCCACATCCCTGCCCAGCCTCTGGGTCTTGCCCACACTTCCCCAGCGGGCATCCCCTCCCCGGAGCCCCCGGCCGGGCCAGAGTCCCCAGGCCACGGCCGGCCCGGAGCGCCTCTCTCCGGTCCCGGCTTGGCTCAGGTCCCTCCTGCCATTTCCTGGTTCCCCAGCCTTGTTCAGACCTGTTCAGAAACACAAACCCCCGCGGCTTTGTCTGCCCGAAATCCCACCTCCACCCCACGGACTGCTTCGGTCGGCTGCACCTTTCCACTCGCTAGCCAGGTCCCGGAGCAACAAGGAAAGCTCAGCCCGGGCGAAGAGGCAGGAGCCAGGGCTCGTAGTGGGTGTGCTCGGTGCAGGTGCGCCTGGCTGCCTCCCGGCCGAACGCCAGAGCACCATGGCCTCCAAGCAAACAGGGGACGTGGCACATCCCGGGGTAGCAGCCACCCAGCCGGCGTGGCCCAGGGCTCCTGCAGAAAGAGCCACGTCCCAGCCGACGTCCGAGCTGCAGCCCTTGCCGCTGGCC